TTCCTGCTAATGCTAACCAGTCATGGGGAAATGGTTAATGCCTATGGCCCACTATATTCGCTAGTCAAACTACAATAGAATCATTGCCACCCTCATCTTGAATACTATTCTTTAGGAAGCATTAACAAGTAAAAAATTAGTTATTGAAGTTAACATTAATTATAGTTATTTCATCAGCACTCATTTTCAGAAGTTATACACTCCTTGAGAGAAAGTGTATTTTGAAGTTACTCATGTATAAAGTACCATGTGTATCTTAGCATCATAATACAAAGCGTTTATCTTTTGGTAACACATGTATTCTTCTGGGTCTTAATTTTTCCCAAAGTGATAAACATGAATGATCACTAAGGACCCTTAATATAATATGATTTTGTGACTTCTGAGAGTAACCTATAGAAATTAACCATGCTCCATTATTACAAATGCAATTCATGTTTATTTTAGATAAATGAGAAAATTAAATTTAAAAAATAAGAAATAAAACCACATATAATCTCTTCACTCAGTTAATAACCACTGATAACCTCTTGGTATGTTTCTTTCCATTCTTCTGTCATATGTATATACTTGCTTTTTATTAAATTATATTGTTTATTCTTTTATAAATCTATTGTTTTACTTACTAAAATAACACAAAATCATTCCACTTCAATAATCATTCTACTATATTTTCAATGACTGCAAAATATTTATAGGTATAAAAAGTGCTGTTTCTGATTTTACCTTATAAACTTGATGTTTATGTTTTTAATAATGATAAACATCCTTGCAGTACATCTTTGCCCATATCATTATTTATTATTGACTCTGGGTTCAAGAAAAATGCTCTATACTCTTTCTAAAGAGATGGGGATTCTATACTTTATAACTCAATTTAGAATTACCCAATTTTTCAGATTTTGAGCAAGTGTTTGACACAATGAGAGTGAGAGAATTATTAATACTTTTACTGCTTTTGCTGTCCCCAAAGGTCCCATCCCCATGAACAAAAAAACACCCAATAGTTTAAAAGGACAGAGACTAGTAAAGTATGTCATTCAAATTCAAATTCCGTTGACAAGACTTCATAGTAAGAAATATATTTCATATCACAACCCAAGACACAACTATAAATTATAAATAAAACAACACTTATTCTTACTGCATATAATACACTCTTCTCTATTCTACTCTACTATTTTAACTGTGGTCCAGAACTACTGAATTTATTTTTTATCACAAATTGCAATTTTTAAAAAAGGCCCTAAAATATATACCCACGTTCTCTCTAATAGGCAGTTTAAAGAGATGAGCTAATAAATATCTCAAAACCCTTGGGTACCGGTGGCCAGCCTAATGAGGCTAACCAACAAATATATCAGAATCCACATTTCCAAAGAGTCAACAATTTTTCTCAAGTCAGTTTCAGGTACTGCATTTTCTGCCATAGTGTTTCTATATAAGATGGTAGATTGCAGTTTCTCAGAAGGATTTGCAAAGTCACTTGACTGTTGAGTTAATTGCCCATCCCTTTTTAAAGTAGGGGATAGTCCCTGCCATATAAGTCTGAAAAGAAAGTAGGTTTGCTTCCCATTCTCTTTCCTGGGCTTTGTTGCATCTTGGGCTCTACCAAACAGAATAACCCATCTCAGATTTATAATCAGAAGATAGATAAAAGAAGATGCAGAGACAAACATACCTCTACAGGTGTGCAGTGACAGTACACACTGCACAGCCATCTGGCATTCTGGCCTGGGTGCCATTTCTTCCCTCTCCTTCACCTGAGACAGAGAGCCTCCAGGTCTATTTAATTCTGCCTCTTAAATGCCTACTGAGTCCACAAAGTTGACCTTGGCTCATCTCTTCCCCCCAGGCAGTCTCACCCTTAAGCTGCTAGCAAAGGCATCTTTCAAAAACACACAGGGAACATGTGACTCTGGAGATATCAATCTTCTCCTGCTCACTTTTGGTTTCAAGACAAAGTTCAAGTTACTTGCAAGTTAGCTCGGCCTTCCTCTGCAGCCTCGTCACTCTCTGCTTTCCCATATAAACTACTTACTACAACCCCACCCACAAAGTATCCACACTAGATATTCTCAATCAAAATTTCATAATTTAAAGAAGTTAACTATTGGTTAAGTTCTGTGAAATAAAATTAAATGTAACTTTTTTTTAAATTATGTTAAATATGTTGAAAATCTTATGAGAATGTACTTTTTATATCATTGAACAATCTGGACACCTTAGCAGTGAATATAACATGTTTAAACACTTCATCTATTTAAATCATAAGAATTTACCTGAAAGTTTTGAAAGTTTTCGAGCTTCTGACTCTCCAATAGAATTAGTTTCATTAAATTGTTGATAGAGTTTTGAATGGTAAAAGCTTCTAAACTTCTCAGCTTTAGTATAAATGACAAGATCAGATAGGGCCAGAGCCACTTTTACCTTTTTTGATGTAAAAATAAAATGCAGTAAATTCACAATTTTGCACTAATAGTTTGAAAAATATCTTTTCTAACAAAGAAAATATAGTTTCACATCAATTATTTTAGTCTTTTCATAAGATTATCTCTCTGTAAAATCTATTTGGATTGGGTCAATGTGATTATTTTTTATGATGATAATGTTTAATGTTATGTGAAACAGCCCAAATCTAAAATTCCAATTAATATAACAAGTATTGAGGATGACACATATTGTTATTTCTTTTTTCCTAAAGACTTCAGTTTGTTCTCATGAATTTTACAAATTTAGATTTTTTTTTTCATGAGTAACTTGTATTTCCAGCGTGATCTAACATTTTGGAGTAATTTCTACTGTATAGCGTACACTGGCTCTTTTACAGCTTGGCATCTATATCCTTTACATTTCTCTTAGCCCCTTTCCCAAGTCTTGTTTGGGAAAAACATTTCTTGTTCATGCTCAATATATGTGCTAAGTATCAATAATGTAGATCGGGCCTGGCTAATTGAAGCTTTGCATTCCCCTAGCAATAGTGATTGGTTCAGGGATGTGCATATAACTGAGTAAGAGCCAATGTACAAAAAGAATTTGCGTGGTCAGCTGAGAAACGGATAGGCTTTCCAGAGGATTTGAACCTGAAAGCACATAAAGCTGAAGCTTTGCAAAGTCTTGCACCAATATCGAGAAAGTGAGGCTGAAGTTGGAGAAAGAAATTAAGTTCTTTGGACTTTGCTTGAAACACTATACCAAGTTATCACTGAAATTAGAATTCCTTTCCCTAAACTTTTTATTCATGTGGGCTATTAATTAATTGGGCCAAAAACTGATTTTACCTAAACCACATGAATTAGTTTTGTGTCACTTGCAACCTGATATACCTTCTTATGTCACACTAATTTGTATACTTATAATACTATGTATTATAAACAGTGTTTTATGGGGTTTTTTGTCCTTGAGGACAAAGACATTATATTGTTTATCTTTGTATCTTTTGTACACCGCACGATGTATAATACATAACAACACATAATATTTGTCGACTATAATAAAAAAATGTAAAAACAACAGGAAAAAAGATAATTTTTAAAAATTACTTTCCACTGATAATATTTTCCAAAAAAAAAATTAAATGATAGATTACAATTTCTGTAAGAGGAAAAAGATTTTCCCTTCTAAAAAATTTTTTTTAATTCCCCACCAATAAGAAAATAAGACAGCTTTTCAATCACATGTAAGATGTTCCTAAAGTATCATCTCACCCTCTTTTTCCTGAAAAGTGGCAATCTAACTAAATTTCTTGGCTCTGTTTCCTTTTCTGAATAGTCTTTTAAAAAAGTCAATGCTCCTGATTCTTTCATTTTGTCCTCTTCCTCTTCTTTTTCTGCCTCTTCATATTCTTCATATTCCTGTACCTGACCATGCTTATCAGAATTTCTCCTTTCACGGGTTTCCACTAAGGTTCCTATTTTCTTGTTTCTAACTAGTATTTTGAATTTTAATGCCTACAGAAAAAAAAGAATGTAAAAGATACAATTACATGCATTCGTAACAGTCATGGAAAAGCTTTACATCATATTCTCAATTAGCCCTCAGTAGTAAGAGATGTAAGATAAGAGCTCCATCTTTTCCAACACCTCTATAAATACCCTAATGGACACCGGTGATATTATGGCATTGACAAAATTCACCAAAAAGTAAGCCTGTTATGATTGGGACTTACTGTAGCCCCATGTCTTTTACATTTCACAAATTACAACTATTTAAAAATTTTGAAATATATGATAAGGGTATATATATATATATACCCTGTGTGTGTGTGTGTGTGTGTGTGTGTGTATAAGTATATATATACTTGTATAAGTATATATATATACACACACACACATATATTTATATATATGTTAAATTTATATATACATACATATATTTATATATGCATATATGTATATATTTGTATATACATACATATATATATACACACACACACACACACACATATATATATGTTAAAATATTTGCAATGTTACAGAAGTTAGAATGCTACAACTACGGGTTAGTAAATGCTTCAAGTCATTACTCTTTTATCCAATAATAAAAAACATTAAAAGAGATCAGGTATGTAAAAATGTCTATTGTAGTGTCTGGCATCTAGTATAGACTAAATTTAAATTAAAGATTTGTAAATGTTCTTTACATTTCAACTGTACTGCATACCAGCATCATCAACTTAATATTTTCCGTCCATCAAAACTAGGAACATGGCAAACTTCACCAACAGAATCACTCAATCTAAATCCAAAGCCTTCTGGTTCCCATCTTTCACTTAGTTTATTTCTGCCCTTTTAAAATATTCATTAAATAACAAATATACTCATTCATGTCTGCTATGTTGTATACAATGCTGCTGAAATCTGGACTATGAAGTTAAGTTCTTTTCTTCAAGGAGCTTTGTTTGTCCCTTCCCTTTGTCATCTCAAGGTACACCTACTCAAATTATTCCGTCATCTTGGGCCTTCTCTCTTTTACCATGACCTTTACATTACTCTCTGGTACAGAGTTTACCAAAGTGCACTCTGCAACTACATGTAGCAAAAGCATCACCTGGAGTGCTTGTTAAAAGAATGGATTCCTGGGATCTGCTTCAAAATTAGAGAACCAGAATCTTGTGCTGTAGGACTGGAATTATGCCTCTTTAACCAGTCTCTAGGCAATTCTTTTGTACACTGAAGACTGAGTGCAATAGGAGAAAATGACTTTCTCTAATTCTTCATTTACTCATTGAAAAGCATCTCCTTACTTTAGTATAGAAACAAAAACTGTAATGTAAACTATATATCTGAATATATATATTAACATATATGTTATATTAAAAATAGATTTTCTTAAAAAAGATTTATAAATAATAGGAGGAATTCTATTCCTACAAAGTTAAAACTTACTGTAATTTACTGAATTAGACCCTGATTCTTAGATTAAATCTTTGATGATGTTTCCAGCACTTTGCACAAGCTATTTAATATTTATTTCCTGTCATAATTGAATACATTTTGTGTGGGAGCATTTTTCTGAGGTGAAAGTTTTCCATATGTTCAATTTATTTTGTCCATCTCAATTTTATCATGGGCCCTCTACTTCTTGTCACTACTGTCAAAATACCTTTATCTTTAAATTTTCACCCAATTGAATAAGGTAAATATAAAAGAAAATATTCAAATATTAGAAAAATACTGCTCTACACCAAAATGATAATATGTCAAAATTAAACTATTGGTTGTTAGACTACACTATCACTCAAAAAGAAAGTTCATTTATCATCTAATAAAATTTGGGGCCAGCAGAGAAAAGTAAGAAAGAATGGCCAGAGAGCAATGGGGAAAGCTTAAAGAATGTGGTGTTACAGAAAAAACAGTGTTTCAAGGAAAAAAAGGGAGCATCCCCAGTATTGAATGTTGTCAAAGGAACAAGTCAGATATATACTGAAACAGGTCCATTAGAATTTACCAGTAGGAAAGTCTTTGATAACCACGAGGTATTTATTACTGTGATGCGGGTGGAAGAGGAAGCTCAATTGGGTATGCTGTGAAGAGATGAGGAAATGGAAATTTGGGTTGAGACAGGGAATAATCAAGAGATAGCTAGAGGGCAAATTGAAATACTGAGTGTAGGGTGGGGGTGCTTTTTTAAACCAAATACTTGACTATGCTCAACTGAAGATGTAAATGGGCCCATACAGCCAGGACAATTGAAAAGAGCATTAAATTTTTAATTTTAATTAAGAATTAAAAAAAGAGGGAACTTGCCACCCAGATGCTGAGGTATTGGTCCTGGACTACATTTACAGCCGAGATCTTTGTCCCTGCCTTAGCTTTTTGCCTATAAAACAGACCAAATTCCTGCAGCCTAATATTAATTGACTTGAAATTTTGGACTCATGGAGTATGACATACAATAAAAATGTGGATTTTTACATATATTTCTATATATTCTCTTGTCAAAATACATTCACTAAATGCTCATAGAAATGTTTCCCAGCTCATTGCAAAGATACACCTCTATAAATAATCAAATCTAAGCATTTTCATTGACCTCTAATCCAATTTCATGAGCCAATATAATAGTGATATGCTTTTTCTTTTGTTTCTAACCTGAGCTTCTCAGACAAAATGTTACCTCTGGTGAAGGTAGTTGGTCTGAAAAGTCATCAAGCATATCAGAAAGCAAGGCATCTCCCAAAATAAACTGCAAATTGTCTGCCATCACTTCTTGTTGGGGAGGGGAGCAGTGATTCTCCAAAGAGAGCACCAGTGGGTAATCAGAAGCCTAAAAAATTAACCATTACTACAGTTATTTATCAGAATTCCTCAATGACTTGAAATACAATTAATAGAATCACTTAATCTATTTTAAAACTTATTGTTAATGATCATTACATTTGCAAAAATAATTAAGCATTCTTTAAACTGAAAGCACTTTTGAGTTTGCAAAAACAGAGAACACTAAATCTATAGAAAAATAAAAATTATTACTATTTGCACTAGAATTACAGGAAACTGAAGCATCCAAAAGTGAGTACTTATTTAAATAAATTACAGCATATCAACATAAAGGAATGACATAGATCTGTTAAGAAGGAGGTATAGCTATACATACTACTATGGAAATTTGTCTATAAAATAGCCTTATGAAGAAAAGCAAGTTGCCAAAGAGTAAGATTCTACATTTTTACTTTTTAAAGTATGTGTGTGTTTATGTGTTTATGTAGATATTTTCAAATGTGAAGGAAAAACTTTAACACTGATAAGTTAGGGGAAATGTTAATTTTTTTACTTTTTCGGTTTTAAATTCTAAAAACACAACTCATTGTTTTATAATTAAAAACAAAGATAAAGATATTTCCAGTGTTTAATAATAAAGAGGATATGTTAAATAAAGATGACTCTACAAAGATATTTTCTGCTCTTTCTCACCACTATAAATTTGAAATTTGCTACAAAGTAGAGAATAACACTCATTTTTATATCTTATTAAAAATAATTTTATTTTGTTTCCATATATGATTATTGGAGCACAAATTTACCAATTTATAAACAAGCCAAGATACTGCAGGATATGCTGCATTATCCCAGACCTTTGAATAGGAGATAGAATATTACACCTTTTCAATGTATGAGTATCTTAGTTTCTGCGGCTACTGTAACAAATTATCACAAACAGCAGAAATTTATTTAGGAGCCCAAAATTTTAAAATCAGTTTCATTAGCTAAAAAACTACTTCAAAGTATCAACAAGACTCTAGGGAAGATCTGTTCCTTGCCTTGTCCAGCTTCTAGTGGTTGCCAACAATCTTTTGCTTGTAGCCATATCAGTCCAATCTCTGCACCTCATCCTCACATTGCCTCCTCCTCTGTGTTTGCTAAACCTCCCTCTGTCTCCCTCTTAAAAGGATACATATGATGGCATTTAGAGCTTACCCAGATAATCTAGGATAACCTCTCCTCTCAATTTCTTTAACTTCATCACATTGGCAAAGACCTTTTTGCCAAAAAGAGTGACATTTACAGGTTCCAGGAATTAGAACCCAATATCTTTGCGGTCCTTACTCAGCCTACTACAATAACCTTCTCATATAGACCCACATACATGTATACTGACTCGGTTTAACATCAAGAGAACATGCAAAATGTTTTCCCAAAAATAAGAAGTGATTTTGAGTCTAAGCAAAGTGATGGCCTAGCAGACGGATTCCTTGATTAGGCCCTGACTTCACTCACTGGGGACAGCTCATTTTTTCAGCTTCTTTGGTGTTCCTTGCCTCTGCCCTCTGGGAAGGTCCTCGTGTCTTTTGTCCTCTTTGGCCACATCTAAAGTAGGTGTTGAAGAGTTTGCTTTCCTTAAAGTCAAGCAACTTTTGTAGCTCACTTCCTGACCAAGGGTTGTTTGAAAAGTTCACCTACGAGGCAGACTTATGTTTTGTTGTGTTTTGTTTTGTTTCTGGCAATATAGTTCCCTTAAAACAGACTTTTTATCTGTTTGTTTCTATTAAGTTTTATGTGCCAGTAAATATAAACAAAGTTCTTTCCTAATCAGTTACACCAAGTTTATTTTATTTCATTGTTCTTTTTCCCAAATTAATGGTGACTATCTTGAGTAGAAAGTTCAATCTTCAATCTAATCTTTGCTGCAAAACTGAGTTACCTTATGCAACTGAGAAGGCTCATTGAGTCTTTGTTGCTCAAAGCCTTTTTTTCATTCCATCTCTCTCTTTGGAATCTTAGAAGCTGTAGGGGTTTCCATTCTTGCAAAGCCTTTAAATTTTAGGATTGTCTCTATTTGCTTTTATTTTCTTGGTTACCCACCTTGAATGAAGTGACACAGTTTGCTATGCAAATATCTGGGAAGAGCATTTCAGAATAAGGGTTAATATTCCAAGTGCAAAAGCTTTGAAATATGTTTGAAAAAAGAGTAAGGAGGCCAGAATGGACAAGGGAACAAGGCAAAAAGGAGAAGAAGAGATCAGAGAGGTAAAAGAAAACCAGTGATATAGGCCTTGAGAGTCACACACAGCTTGGATTTTAGCTTTTATTCTGAGTGGGACTGAAACTTTTGAGAAGGAAAATGACATGATTTGACTTACCAAAAAAATCAGGCTGGCGATACATTAAGATGAAACTGCAGGGGAGAAGAAGGAGAAGCAAGAACATTGGATAAAAGCCATTGCAATAATCCATGTGAAAGGTGATGGTGGTTGGCCAGGACAGTGACAATAAGAATAGGTTAAGGATTAAATTGGTATATATTTTGAAAGTAGAGCCAAGAGGATTTGCTGAAGAACTTATTGAGAGGTTGAAAGAAAGAGGGGAGAGTTAAAGTTGACAACAATGATTTAAGCTTGAACACATAGAAGTTATACCATTTGGTGAGATTGGAAAGACCACAGGGAAGAGCCTGACTGGCAGAAAGCGGACTCTCTGGAGCTCAACTCTAAACATGTAATGTTATATATGTCGATTAAATATGTAAATGGAATGTCAAATTGAGTAGTTGTCTATTTTGGTGTAGAGTTCAAGGAGGAAGTTTGGGTAAAGATATAAATTTAGAAATCATTAGAAATTAGATGTTTAAGAGAATCAATGCATACATCAACATTTTATATTAAGATAAAATTTTTCAAATTTTTATTTAAATTTTGTGAGTATTTAGCATTTTATACTCTTTCTAATAAATGGTACAGCAATTGATTTAAATTTGTGATTTTAAGTTATATGTAAGTTTAATATACATTAAGTATTCAGTAAGATTTTGTTAAATCTCTTCTAATGAAGTAATATACAAAGTTTACAAAAACAATTTAAAATATGTGAAGGTGCTTAATTAGCCAAATTTGTAAATGGTACCAAGTATTGTTCAAAATTGAATGATTGTTAAAACCTGCTCGATTTATAGACCAGGATTTGTAATCTAAATTTAGAAGCTCTAGAAAACACTAAATCTTTGAATCTGTAACTTTAATTGAATAAAAATTAAAATCCAAAATAAACTTCTGAACATTCTTTGCTGTATAAATAGCAGCACCATACTACCACAGTCATAAAAAAGTGTCAACAATTGAGATAATACATTTTTGACATTTTATTTTTCTCTCTTGAAAGTGAAATAGTTGAATATTGGTAAAATATTTACTAGTATATAGAACAGTATTTCTCAAACATTTTTGGCCATAACTCACAGTAAGAAATATATTTTTACATTGTGAAAGAATATATCCACATTATATATATGTATCTGTGTATGTAGATACATAGATACATATATATATAAAATACACACACATATACAATTTAACAAGAAGTTCCATGAAACATGCACTTTACTGAGAAAAACTTTGATAAATATACCAATAACTATATGCTACATGAATTTCACTACTAATAGATCATAACTCACAATTTGAAATATCACCGATCTAAACTAAGGCCAAGCATTATACAATTTTGAAACTAGTAAATTATATTATGTTTAATAAACTATAATTTAGCAAAGATATGCACGTACTATAAATGCATATTTGTGTATCGCTTGTATAACAGTTTTAAACAGAAGCTTGCTGGTGAGTGTATAACCGTGGTATACAACAGGTTCATTTTGTGATCCATCCCAGCAATCAATTTCCAGACAACGGCATCCTTTCACAAGGGCACTAGCAAAATTTAAACAAAACAAACTGTCATTCCTGGATCATTAAAAAAATATACTTTTAGTGTCAAAATATTCTAAAGACTATTTGTGATTTTAAAATAAATGCATAAATTGATCTATAATAAAGACGAATTGTGCAAAACTGAACACATTTTTCTTATTTTCTATGTGCATGGCTTGACATGGAACTAATGTGTGGAAATCATAATTCCAACACCCCCAAGATAATACAGCGTTCAGTGCTGAATCCTGCAATTTCTACTTATTACTTATGCTTTAAGGGCAGGAATCGAAATTTCAGTCTTATAAAAAATATTTGATATGCAGTGCACTATCAATAAATATTGTATTTATATTGGAAAAAAGGGGAGCTATAGGGATGTAAGAAGAAAAGTAGAAGGCAGACAGAAATAATCTCCTAAAAACAATCTTGGAAGAGAGAGAACCGAATGAAAAAAAGGCTGACTTGTATCACCAGGATCTTAGAATTGATACTTATGTACCAGGAAGAAGGTCAAAGAAGCCCCTGCCATACATGGAGATATTTTTCTATAGAAAACCAAGTTAATACTTGTTTTACAAGAAAAATATTAAATTAACCTTCTGACTCCAGGCCAGTGGTTCTCCTTTAGGACAATTTTGCCTCTTAAAACATCTGGCAAAGTCTGGAGACATTTTTGGTTACCATAACTGGAGATGAAGGGAAGGTTTGCAACTGGCATCTAGTGAGTGGAGGCCAGAAATGCTGCTAAATATTCTACAATGCATAGGACAAGCCCCCAACAACAAAGAATTATCTGACCTGAAGTGTGAAGAATTTGAGAAACCTTTACCTGAGCCGTAACAACTTGGAGAAGGGAATGTGGCCCCAGCACCAAGTACTTGATATAGAATCAGTAATTCTTTCAGATAGATATACAGAGTACCAAATAGGCCATATGAGAGAATAGACTCTTTGAGGGATCATATTTAATCAACTTTCTAGGTAGATGATTAAAGTAGTATTTAGGTAGGAGTATAACTGAGAAAAGATAAAGCAATTATGACACTGAAATCAAGGGGCTGAATTCCGAAAAAAAAAAGCGGGGGGGGAAAACCTTATGTTCCCTTGGGAATAATATAGATAAAAGATAGAAAGTATCTGAAGAGGTAGGGAATTAAAAGAGAAGAGAATTCGTGAAGGTCATGTATCTTGGAGGTCTCAAAACAATACGAAATACAGAATTAACAAATTCTTTTTTGAGATGCTTTCAGGGCTTGTTTTTTAAGCGTACACTACTTGATCAGGCATGTAGAGATGTACTACAATGTCAGCATTCAGAGCTTTCCAGTCCACTTGTCCTGGTGTTGGAGGAATGGGCTTACAACCCTTTTCTAAGTTAATCCTGTCTGACACACTGATATTTCCATCAGCGAATAAGGTGGCCACCTAATTTTAGAAACAAGTCCTAAATTGGGCTATATATGTATAAATCAAACAATACATTTATCAGCTTGAGGAACTTATTTGCATATTTAGATTTTAAATTGCAGAAGAAGCAATATGTTTATAAAGTTTGTTAATTGCCACAAAAGAATATTTGCTTTACTCTCCTTGTAGTTGATTGCTAAGGTAAATTGTCTTGCCCTTTTTATCATACAGAATATCAGTTTTCTTGGGTGCTAACAGAATAATCTTGAACTCTGTGCTAGGAAAACAAAAACACAAAAAACTACCAAAAACTCAGTTGTGGAAGAAAACTTTTCATGAAGGACAACCTAAATAATACTGATTCTTGCTACTTCTCTAGTAGTTTTAATTTCATCCTTCGATTCAACCAACCTTTACCGAACTGCTTATTTTGACTACATGGTGTGGCCCCAGCAAAAAAGATTTAAATGGATCGCTCCGTGTCATGCCAACCAACCCCTTTTACTCAGGGGTAGATAAGAGAAAGTTGTGTCTTCTCCACTGGTGTTGCTGAGGCCACTTTCTACTATTTCACACTGAGTCCTCTTTTGGGGAATGAATAATGAAAATGTCTCTCTCACTCAGTAAAGAAATGTTCCACTTAAATAACTTTAAGAGACTTCATATGGATGAAAATAATTAATACTATAGGACAGTTAATACTAGTTCTCCTCTTTTAAAGATGAAGAAATTGAGACACAAAGGTTTTCTTTGCCATATAAAAACAAATGAGGGAAAGGAAGGAAAGACAAGCACCAAAAACTTAAACATGAATAGGTAAACATTACATTATACCACTTTTCATGAGTAGAGAAATTAGGGAAGACTTGCATTCTAAGAGTTTATCTTCTATAAGTGGGTAAAGAAACAAAGAAATACAATTAAATTTAAATTTAAATATTCAGTTGTGTAGCATATTTTTTCTTGGAATTCAAAAATAACTGTATTTCTAAATCGGTCTGTTTAAAATTTATATTTTCTCTTTTTAAAAATTTTTAAATAATAAAGTACGAATACACATTTCTATAATGGAAGAATAACTATGAATTGGGCTATCCTTACAGAATTCTAAGTGGATATAGTTCTGAGTTTATGGAGTTATGTATTCACTTAAATTTATTGGAGAAGTAATGTTTATTTGCAAATTTGATATTATCAAATTGGGATTATAAGATATCTTTTCTATCTATGGTTTTCCTAAAGTAATATCATCCAATCACATAGCTTTTAATATCAACTATATGCTGATTACTTCCAATTCTTTTTTTCCAGTCTAGATATTTCTTCCAAATCCTAGGCACATATACCCAACTTCCTGTTTGACATGGCCCTTTGATAACTAAGCGGTATCTCAAACTGAATGACAGAACCACTGAACTGCTGCTTTGCCTCACATCCAGCAATGGCCTCTTCTCTCAGGCTTCACCATCTCTCTCAATCCTATTACTGTACTCTAGGTTATCAGACCCAAAATCTTGATACTCTCTCTCTCAGACCTCTCCTCAAATTGCCTGGTAAGTTTTGTTGGCTCTGTCTCCTTAAAATATTCCAAATTCAGCCACTTATCTCAAATGCAGCCTCATAGATTCACCATCTAAATAACCATCATCACCTGGACTGCTACAGTATCAATCCCAAATCATCTTCTAACTCCACTCTTGCACCATCAGTCTTTCCTCCACAGTAAAACGTACATCAAATTATGATATAATCCTAAGGAAAACCCCTCCAATGGCTTCCCAGTGCAAATGTAATAAAAACCCATTCTCTTTTCCATGCTATCTAAGACCCTCTTAAACTGACCTTGTCTACCTCCTCAAACTTACCTCCCTTCATCCTCCATGTACTTGTTTTAAGCCACGCTTGCTGTCTTTCATTTGAACATGCCAAGCCCTTGTTACTAGTTTTACTTATCATGCTCTTCTCTACCAGATTTTTCTGAAACTTCCTCTTTATCATCACTCAGACCAAAACTATGTCACCTCTTGATAAGTCTTTCCTGACCATTTAACTAAAGTACCAAACTTCACCCCCAGTTACTTTCTATCATGTTACACCCTAGTTCATGTTCTCCATATGACTTATCAGTCCCTGAAAACATCAATTTGTTTACCTGCTTATTATCTGTCTATTCCCATGAACAGATGAGGGTAGCAGCTTTGAAAATCTTGCTCACCAATGTATCCCCAGCTGACTGGCTAAACTGAAGCCTGGTATCAACAGTATATACACTGTAGAATGCAAAATTAGAGGTGCAGCATAAATTGCTTTTAATCTAAGTAAATCATTTGACATACAAATCTCTATATATTATTATCTATAAATGCCAAATTATACAATTTATTCTACTTATGTGTTGGTTTTACTCATAGCATTGTGTCCTGATGTCTGAGAATTAATTTTAACCACATTTTTTAAAATGTAGGATGTTCTAATTAGCTAAATAAGATAAATCTTCTCCATGTGTTTCCTCTAAGAAGTATTGAAATTATTCAGGAAACTTCAGAGAGCCAATAACTGAGGAGAGAAAGTCAGCAGGCAGAATTAGAAGGAAATTATATGATACTAATACATAAAATAATTTACATAGCCACCCAAAGGTTGGATCTCCAAGATACACACAAGTCAAAATTATTCTTCTCTATGTGTTTGCCTAACACGCGTAGCCTGCTTTTACTGTGAACTATAACCTATGGAGGTAGAGACCCTCTAGGAACTTCCAAGTGTTTCAAAATGTAATGAACAAAAAAAAATCAAAGTAAATACCTTACATATCCCCAAATGTCACTTGGTCCCACTAATTGGTCAGATATCAAATATGTATTATGTGAACTTGAAATAAAATAATCATTTAATGGATGAGTCATATCTTGATAAACTTTTTCATAGTCATTATCAAACAGTTGACAGTCAGATGAACACAGGTATCTTATAAAACCTTCTAGTGACATCTGGCGTGCTTCCTTAACTATAAAAAATAAGTAAAAAGAATGCAGAAATATCATTAGCCATGTAAAAATTACATCTCACTTTAAAACTTATTCAGTAGTAATGTTTCTAAAATATTCATTTAGAAATAAAATTAACACTATTTTTAATTTTTCTATGGAAACAAATTTTTCTATACAATATCCTTAATTCTTCTGCTTCAACACTGAAGTAGAGAATATATTATTTAATTATCTCTGATTTTTTTTTAATGTTTTAAAAATACACATAAGTGTATATGTCATAGATTTATGAATTTCCACAAGCTAAACATCTAGGTAACCATCAAGGTTAAAGAACAAAACATTACAGCACTGCAAAAGCCTGTCTTCTGCTAACTTTTGGTTTCTCTCCACTTCCCCACCCAACTGTATTCTATGGTCTGATTTCTAATGTTGTAGATTAGTTTTCTCTGCTTTTTGTGCTTTACAGGAATGAACTCATGTAGTATGTACTTTTTGTGATCGGTTTATTTTGCTCAACATTGTTTCTAAGATTTATTTTTGAAGTTGCATATGGTTAGACATTGTTGGTTGCCATGTTGTATAGTATTCCATTAAGTGAGTATACCATTATTTATCAGTTCTATTCTTGATGAGCATTTAGATAATTTTCAGTTTGGGGCTATTATAAAGAGTGTTGCTATAAACAACTAGTACCTGCCTTTTGGTACAAATATATACATATTTCTGTTGAAAGTATGCCTACATATGGAATTGCTAGGTCATTTGCATATTATCATTTTAAATAAATTATCACTAAATTTTTACATGCAAGCATAATATTTACCAAAATTATCTATTTAAGCAAAATACTGGCTCTAGAATCAGACAGCTTGGGTTTAATCCATTTACTTGTTATATGATTAGCATGTTAACCAATCTCTATGTTTGGAAGAATGATAATAACAGCATCCATCCTACATTTTAACTCTATGTTAGTTGTTTTTATCTTTGTTGTAAATAACTTAATTTGTCTCAAAATAATTGCTGGTGTAAGTTTCACCATGTTTTGACAGGGTAATTTATGCAATTATATGAATCTTATTATACTATGTCATCATTATTTTATTTAAAGATAAGCATAAATTAAAAATTTTGAAGTTATTTATCATCGAAAGATGAGATAAGGATAAAAAAGAATATGACCGATCATAAGCCTAAGTGGTCATTTAATTTAAACCAGACAACAATACTCAAAAAATGAAGAAAAAGCAACATTTTTAAATATTTATAAAATGCTATAATCAATTATGCACATAGACAGTGAAGAAATTGGTAATTTTCTAGTATTTTTTCCTTTCCTATAATTGTTTCCATTTAGATAACTTAATATTCATATATATTTTCAATAATATAATGTATAAAATGAAAGACTGCCTATAATTGGGTTTTTATCTTACTAATGAATATCAAGACATTTTCTTCCATTACATTGCCATGTAACAAAATCCTCTTCTTGCTTTCCACACCTAAGCTTATCTCTGAACACTTGGGAGATTATGAAAGCAGTTCAAAAAAAAAGAGCTAGACAATGAAATAGAAAAGAATGCCATGGTTACACAATGTAGCTTTATAAAAGTTATATGTACATTCTATAAAACTCAAAGTAAAACTGACAATATTTTATATTATCCAGAAGTTTGACCTATCCAAAAATTCGAATTTGATAACTGAAATTCATTTTAAAAAATACTCTGTAAATAAATATTTGATAATCTTGGAAAGGCAAGCATACCTTCTTTAATAGGCTCATATTTTTCAATGATCTCAAAAGCAAAATTTTTACTCGTGTTAAGCATATACTGTTCTTGTGTCAAAAAATCAACCAGATTTCTTTCAAAAAGAACTTTCCGGTTTTCAGAATACGTGTTGAAAATCTCAAGTATTTCTTCTCTGTGTGCAATAATTCGATAAATTGATCTAAATTCTTCTATGGTGATTCTTCCTTGCCTCAGCCTGTCATTATCCTACTAAAAAAAACAACAACAACTGATGGGCTCAAATTGTGAATATAAAAAGTACACAAAATGAATACATTAGAATATTTGTATAATATATATAGCAACTTATACTTGAAAGAATATGAATCTTATATCGTATTCTTATCTCAGATAAAACATATAAAACTGCATGAAATGATGCCAAAGTTGGGGAAAGGTTAGTGGATCATCACCACTTAAAACCCGGTAGCCATCATGGATGTACTAAAGGGTACGATGCTAGGTAAATTAAGTCAGACAGAGAAAGACACATACCATGTAATTTCACTTATATGTGGAATCTAAAAACAAAATAAACAAACACACACAACAGAAACAAACTCTTAGAAACAGAGAACAAACTGACGGTTGCCAGATAAGAGGGCAGTAGGGGAATAGATGAAAAGGTGAAGGTATTAAGAAGTACAAATTGGCAGTTACAAAATAGTCATGGGGATGTAAAGTACAGCTTAAAGAATAAAATCGGTAATATTGTAACAATTATGTATGGTGTTAAATCGGTACTAGACTTAGTGGGAGGATCACCTCAGAAGTTATATAAATTTATAACCAAGGTGATGCACATCTGTAACTAATATTGAATGTCAACTGTAATTTAAAAAAATTTAATTAAAAAAAAAAAAAAACCAGTAGCCATAGTGGGAGTGGAATAAGGTATGAGAGAAGATGAGTCTTCTATGTTGTCTTTCAATTACGTGGTTTATTTTTCTATTCCACTTTATTTCAGTGCTTTCTTAAAATCAGGCCAGACAGTATGTATTTCCATGCCACCAAAATGCAGCTTGTACCATAAATGTAAAGGTAAATCAAAGACATTGAAGATCACTGTAAACTACAAAAGTTATAGTAGTTATGTAATAACTAGAGGAAGTAGAATCCGCATAATCATTGAAGGACTGGGGGCAGGGACAAACAAGGCAGGTTCCAATAAGAAAAAGTGGATTCGCCTGGCTGTTTTGGAAAATTCATGTCTGAACTTTATGACATAAAAGATAAGAAATTGGGCTGAACCCAGTTATTAAAAGCAAAAGAACCATTGTGAGGTTCTAAATAAGAAAATGACTAGCAAAAGCAGAAGTTTAGTATTATTAGTTGTTCATTCTCAATTTGAAAAGATGGAGAACTGCATGTAAGGGAATGGAGAGGATACAATCTAGGTGGGAGGTGGTGAGTAGAAAATAATGAACAGGTGTTAGTAAATTATAAAGGAAGAAGTCAGAAGAATTAAACACGTTAAAAATTTATATCTATAAAGAATTGGAGAGAGAACTAGTAAAATTATAGTATCGCAAATAGAAAAAAAACAGACATAAGAAGTGCACCTTAGGACATTTAATTTCAAAAAAGACTATTTATATTTTAACTTTCTCATTACATTGTAAACAGCTTGAGTACAAGAAGCATGTGTTAAAGGGCCTTGTATTGTGATGAAAAGCTGACAATTTGTAGACAGAATGGAGATGACATATTCATATCGCCAAAGTATGTGGGACTTTGGAAATATAAATTAAGCTCTCTGAGCTTCATAATCTTCATCTGCAAAATGGAGATAGATAGCACTAGCTGTGTCATCAGGTTGCTGCAAGGATTGAAGATATACAAGAAATGATAGTTCTAGATTTCAGTGTATTGTTATGCCTCATCTATGTCTGCTTCCCTCACATCACCCAGCCTCTGGTCTCATCTTTTGACAATTTTGCCTATAAAGTGAATCTCTAGGGTATAATAGGGGGAAAACATGCTGGAAATTATTTCATTAGGAAAAGTTCAGTGGTCATTACCAGAGAGTTTTATATGAGGAATTCAAGAAGCAGTCTGAGCTGGGAATGAAATATGAAGTTTTTCAGGGAAAGATAAGTTTCATTTTAAACATTAAACTTGAAGTACTCTGGGTCATCCAAGCAGAAACAGCCAGTAGGCAATCAGTTAGGATGGGAAAGGGGAATTGGTGTGTTTAGGGAAAAAATGAGATAAAGATTTTGGAATCAGACATACCCAGATATGAGTTTTCAGTTATATGAGATATGACTATTATATATGAAAAAAAGGCTGATAACTTCTTCAGGTATTTGTTAAGATAATACATGCAAAAACCTAATGAAGTGCCTAGAATATGGCAGATAATGAACAAATGGTATTGTTGATAAAAAAAAAAAAAAAAAAAGGAGGGGGTTCTATGGAAAATAACCTCACAGAATGATCTAATAATAAATTCCTAGTGGGGAGGTCGTGGTAGGTAGTCACCCCCCCAGGCATGTAACTTCTTTAGTAAAAGGCTTAAATCAGCTCTGCCCATTGTTCTTATGCATCTAGGTTAACACACCTTTGAAATATCAGAAGTGATACCCCTCAAAGCTGGTATTAACCTTCGAGACAGCACATAACCTTGTTAACTATCCTGTAATCCAATCCCCACCTCCATGTAATGTTCCTAATGTCCCCTCCTTAATTTCAAATGCATAAAAAAAGCTGCAAAACTGTTAATTCTCTGGAGCATGTGAGATCTTGCTCCCTAGCATATGTCGTCAGTTTGACTCAAATAAACTCTTAAAAATTCTTTACAGGTTTGGACTTTTCTTATGTCGATATTTACTTGGTATAGTCAGCAGGATTCCAAAGAAGTCCACCCAGGGCCACCCTACAGACCTGGAGCTGGTGCTCAGTATAAGCAAAGGCCTATTGTGCCCCAACAACTCCCCATTTTGCATTGAGTGAACTTCGGTGAGTTTCTCTTGGAATTGCAGGTCTCCTTGCTAAATTTAAGTGGCAGGCCATGAATTTATTTGAGCTGTTCTTAGAAAATTCTTGAGGTGGATAAGGGTTGAGATAACCCAAGCTAAGGGGGAAAAAATGGGTTGCTGCTTTTAATTTGTTTTTAATTGGATTGCATACTGAGAGTCTAAACAAAATCTTCTTCTGGTTAAATAAGAGACTGGACTCTCTTTAGCTTTGAAAAAGAAAGGGCACTTGCTTCCCCAACCCGAATAGCAAATGGGGTGATGACAGCTGTTTGGATCCCTAAATCCCCAGTGGCAGAGATGGGTGCTATGAGGCATCCAGTGAAGTAATGCAGCCCATCCTGGAGAAGCCAAAAGAAGCCCCAGAGAGAAGGGCAAAGCACCTTGGAATGGGTGCACCCCAAAAGAGGAGCCCATCACTTGGACAGCATTGTGGTTCTGGTAGTGTGGGGTTGGTTCTTGCTGACTCTTACTTGCATATTCTTAGGTGATTAAGAATCCTTGTGAGGTTGCCTAAGGAAGAATTTTCCTCTAGGCTGTAAAGCAGGCCTGTAGGGATGTCCACCACATTTTGGCTCGTCTGAAGAAGTGCACATAAAGGCTGGTTTTCCCTAGAAGTTTGTTCAGACTTTACACATCTCAAAATTAATATGGGAAATTGTGCCTCCAAGGCCAACAAGGCCCAGGACAACCAGCCTCCCATTAATACTAAGCAGGCCAAGATGAGGATCCTTTGATACTTCTAATCTTTTGCATGCACAATTAGAAAAAGTTGGCTATAAAATTAGGCAGAATGAATGGGAAACATTTAATTGATTTCTTGAAGCTTCAAAAGAGGATTTAGATAAATGTTGTTTAGGTATCAACTCAATTCTTTGAGGTATTAAAAATGGCTGTCCTTATTTTAAAAGGAGGAAGGTCATTTGGAACTTGATTGTCAAGTACAGATATAAATTGTAAAAGGCATCCAAAACAAAATTTGGATTTGATTGTTCTCTATTTTTGTCAGTCCACATATGCCTATATATGTATGCTGTAAATGTGAGATAATTTTCTGCGTCTGGATGGTATTGTTAAAATTAATGTAAAGGCAAGCACTTGTAAGAACTGGATATTCTAAAATTCTCAGAAATATAAAAACTGAAATGGTTTTCAGGTTCACATGATCTAAAATTAATCCTTTGGAAATAAAAGCTGACTTACGTTTGTTGGTTTAAGTAAAATAGATATGTCTTTATTTTACCTGGGTTTTACAAAAAATAAGTCCATGTTAATAACTGACTTTTATATCTATGAAATATGAGGCTGAAAAATGTCTTATATATGTTTGCCGGTAAAAAGGCCTATGCTTCTAGAGGTTATAAAATCTCTTCATAAATCTGCCAAGCTAAAGAATGCTAATCGCTTACTTATTTTCATTAGAAATTGAGGCTTTAAGAATTAAAATCTCAATATATGTAGGAATAACTTCGCAGTGTTTCAGAAGGGCTCCTGGAATACCTCAAAAGATTTCACACTGCATAAGAAGTGATGAAAATTTCCAGGGTATATGTATGGGTAAACAACAGTTGTAAATTAAATGAATAATTGGGACTATGGGAAACCCATGACGGCCACTTAGTTCTTCCCTGCTCCCTGGATCCCCATTTTTGTTTTAACATTCCCTCATGCACCATACTGCTGGACTTAAATTTAATGAGTGACATTACTGAAAGGAGACATTCTACACTTTTGCCAAGATAAAGAAGATGTATAAGATAACTTTTAATACCCTTTTAATAGCTTACGTACATGTTATACTACATGCCAAACACAGAAAAATGAGATAGAAGGCAAAACTTGGATCATGATAGTTCAGAGGCTAGGAGCGATCCAGAGCGTTTTTTCACAACGAAGTCCATATGACCTGACTGCCTTCCATTTACCTGCCCTTCCCTTTTGGGGAAAAAATAGGCTTCAAGCCAGGTTCCATGATTATGATTATTGTCCCATCACCTATGGTCAGTAAGATGATATCGATACTAAAACTTACTAGGAATGAACCTTCCTAGCACTGTGAGACCACACTATCTGACCAAAGAGTTGGTCATCAAGACATCCTTCAGACTGATTTATGATATAAAGGGAGAACTGTGAGTGAAAAAGAAAAAAAAAGATGCTTTATGGAAATTTCACAGGTTGATCTGATCATAAGTTCCTAACGGGGCTGGTCATGGTGGGTAGTTGTGCCCTAGGCATATAACTTCTTTAGTGAAGGTTTTAAGCAGCCCTGGCCATTGTTCTTGTGCATCTAGGTTAACACACCTTCAGAATGACAGACTTTATGTCAGTAATACTTAACCAGCAATTAAGAGGGTAATTTAAGCTAGTTATGTGTTTTGAAATGACACATACTTTCTATAACATATCTTACAGACTACAAGTTAAAGAGAATGGTAAAAGCAGTAATGATTTTTCTTTTGATAAAAGGATTAATAAAACAGGGAATTTCTGCTCAAGCCATGACTCAATTAATTTTGTAAAAAGAAATTCAGGGGTCATATAGGGTCATATTGTTATTTCTTCTTTACTGAAATTTTATGATAAAAATTCCTTGTGAGGAAATAAATTCATTTCAGAATTTATGTCAGCTTCTTAGGAAATCAATAAATGTTATACAATTTTCTATATATTTTTTGAACAATCATAATGGATGTACCATCAACTAATTTACTGAGTGCCTACTTTTTGCCAAGCCTGGTACTAAGTACGTTTGCAAATATTATCTTATTTAATATTCAGGACAATCCTGCAAGACAACTATATGAGTATCCCCATTCTGCAGATAAAGACATTTGCTCAGAGGGATTGCTGACTTGCCAAGTACCACACAGCTAGGATCTAATAGAGTGAAGAATCTCCATGCCCACTGAGTTTGCAATAGCCCTGAGACACTGAAAGATTTTGGTCACCAAAATAAGATCCATTATATTCATTTTTTTCTATTCTGGCTAAAAGGTATACCCATAAAGTAAAAAAAGATTACTAACAAAAGTTGAAGCATGGGATATTTAAGGAGTTGAATCTTCAACTATACAGAAAATTCAGTTAGCCAACAACTTTCTTAAGTATTCTATTTAATCAACATTTTAATAAATACATGGCAGTTTAGCTTATGGTAACAAAGTATTATTTATTAGGGGGCCTAAGGGAATTATTTTAATAAGGATGGTTTATTGTGGTCATCAACCTTGTTTATATATAATTTATGTTTCTAAAGTATTTGAGGTCATTTTGAAAGAGGTTTTTTGAAGTATTCTAAGCAAATCTGCCTAATTTTTATAATTAACATTGTTTTCATAGCCACTCCAAAAAAGTTTTGCTAAACAAAACAGACCTTCAGCCCTACCATGTCTGAATAATCATAAATTTCAATTAATGAGCTAGTCTTTCATTTGTTAATAACTGTTGAGCATTCTACATGCTTTTAAATGTGGCATGGATTTCGCTCAAGTGCATTTCAAACAGATATCTCTATCTTGCAGATAATTCAAAGCAATCTGATAATCACTGAATAGAATTTACATTATCACATTTGATAGAGATTTAATTACTACCTCCCCACTGTGTTGAATAAATTTTATTAAACCTGAAAGCACGTAGCTGTTTTTCCCTTTGGGGGATTCCACTGGGGGAAAATTCTATTTATAAAGGTCTCTCACAAAAATTTGTGTCTTCAGATATGGTATTAGACATGAAGTGATTAAAATTCTGAGAGCTTATTACATCTCAAGCTACTTGGATTCATAGAAACAACTCTGAAACTTGTCTTTTACTGCAGTCTCCTGAGAAGTACAGTTTTTCTCTCTTGAACTTCCTCTTTGCAGTTTGTAAACATGGGGGCCATCTCTTGTCCAGAGAAGTGCTTGTTAAAGGCAGTTCTCCATAGGTCTTGCATTTCTGCACATTTTCTGAGCAGAGACACCAATATCCTTCATTAGAATTAGCTTTTCAAGGATGTTTGTGTAATAAAGAGATAGTATTTCCCTCCACAGGAATAAACAGGTTTGTTTACTGTCCATGATACTCATGATAATGACACCCTCTTGGGCAAAAGTCAGACAGGCTTACTGCCCCTAATAAAAGACCTCTGTTTCTATTTTTTTTTTTTTTTAGGCAAGACAACCTTTGGTTGACCTCACAGATTCATCTTACAATCCCTTATTTTTTATTTTTTATGCCTACTGCACCTGGTCTTCCTTGGTGGTCTCCCATCCAAGTACTAACCAGGCCCGAGCCTGCTTAGCTTCAGAGATCAGACGGGATCGGGCTTCTTCAGGGTAGCATGGCCATAGTAAGACCTGGGTTTCTTAAACTTGACATCCTTCTCTGGTAATGCAACCCACTGCATTGCAACATCACCTAGCCTCCTCACATCACACTTTGTGAACTAGGGCTTAGAGAAATAGCACCAAAATGCAGATACTCTGGCAATTGCTACTTTTTTGAGTAACAAGCTGTCTTTTTTCTATAAACTGGAAGCCTGCCTCTGCCAGCACCCATTAAACTGCAGACTAGCTGGTTAGCTTGCAAGTAACACAAGCTTCCCAGTTTTTGTGTTAGTGGTTAACAATTAACATAGATTGTGTTAGCTGCTACTCCAAAAAAAAAAAAAAAAAAACGAAATCAAAATCAGGGTTCTCGTCTTTCTACCTATCTGGTGTGGCAAGTCTAATAGTCCTGCCTAATTTGCCAAGAAATATGCCAACTTCTTCATGCAAAATTCAGCTAAGCACTTGGCTTTTTCTTATTTTATTCATTACCTTCCCCTCTGTCCTCCAGGAGTCTTCTAGTGACAGAACTGAGCTAGTTTCCCTTTCTACTAGTTCTCATTCAAACAGAACTTCTGGCATGATTTTCTACTTTGAGGTGAGTAAAATATGATTTTTCTCAAGAGTACCCATTTCTTCTATAAATTACTAACAACTGATCCATTTACCATTTCATCATATATATATATATATATATATATATGATTTTAATCTAATCATATGACCAATCCTAATCAGATACGAACGTTACTATATACTCAACAGATTGTTCTAAACTGATAACCTGGTATTATTTCAAAGTTTATACACAATTCATCTTACCTCCTGCCTAAATTCTATATTGATTATAAATATATTTAATATAATTATTTGCTTTAATTCTTAAAAGATTAATTTTTCATATATTTTCTTCAAAAAGCATCCAAGGAGCTTAGCTATCGATATTTCCCTATACTGGGTTAAGCCCTTCCTAGGTGGGATAGCAGAGGGTGGATATCATCTCACCTTAAATATATATTTCACATGAATATAACTGCATTGAACATTTAATTTTTCAAGTAATTTATAAGCTTTTTCTAGATTAATTTTTCCACCTCTAAAGTCATCCCGAATCATCGACAAAAACCACGTATGAAGCACAAAAAAAGGAGTTAAGGAAATTCTCACAGAAAGTCATCAAGTACTTAAAATGGCTAAAAAAATTCAATCTCTAGTGTATTTTTATTGTTAAAGGATAGTCTAGCTTGTGCTTAAATGACAAAGTAATTCTATAATAAATAATACTTAAAACTAAGTAGGTACTATTCTTTAGTAAAGGTATAAAAGAGCATCACACAATAAAATTATGATAAAATAAAAATAAACATTTGTGAAATCAAGTTATTACTCGATAAATATAGTCTATTGCCTAAAGACATGGACCAGGGAGGCAGCTAGACTTCAAGATACCCTGTTCAGTTCCCTTACCTGAAAAGT